AGCTTTCCAAAATGCCAAGTCCAATGGGGCAGGCATTGCCCCCTTACGTGGTTAAATTTTGTTTCGGAGGAAATAAAGAAGTGGGGAAATGTACGTGAATGTGGCAAGGTTGAAATCCTGAAAGCAGCTGGTACTGTCAACATGACGTCTGCCTCTCAGAAGGAAACATAAACTTACAGGGGTTCTTGGTTGCCTGTTGCTTCCAGGCCAATAGTGGGATTTGGCGTGTTATCTTATCTTTGAGAAGGGAGAGACTAGAAAGAAGGAGGGAAACAATCATGTTGTAGCTGATTGCAGTCTGATCCATGTTGGGCAAATTGCATCTGAGCGAAAAGTATTGTATTTCATTTTCCCTTTAAATCATTTCCACTTGAAATTCAGAATTATCTGCAGTGTTACAATCAAATCTCTGAGGCTGTGGCTTTGGGAATCTTAGGGAAAAAGGAAAGACATGAAACTGATGCTTAGCCCCTCTGCCGGGACTCTGACCTGTGCTCTCTGGTGATACTCTATTTACTTCTTCAGTTTTCTCTTCCTGCAGTGATGGAGTGTAATATGATTATGTGAAGCTCAGTTAGGGAAAGTGAGAATTTCAAGTCAAGCCCTCAATCCTTAAAGTTTTGACAGCAAATAATGGCCCTATACAACCATCGTTCCCTTTGGCTCTAGCCCTAGTCTCTAGATTTCTGGTGATGAGACTGAGTAATCCGTAAGGCCTTCAAATTCTATTTCACATGATTATTATATCCTCCTGAAGCTTGAATCTGGATCCAGATACGGGAGGAATTAAAAAACAAAAACAAGTGGTCCAAAGCAAGCAGCGGCTTCTCTGACCCACATCCATGGACACACAGCACCCTGGGCTCTCCATCCACTACCAACTTCTTGTTCAAGCCTCAGATCCTTAGAAAGCCTTTCCTTGGGCTCGGGGAATTAGGAGACAGAGTCCTTATTATTGTGAAGCTCACTCTGAGTAATGGGGAAGAAATTAGGTTTCTAATCAAAAAGCAGTATCTGTGACCCAAGAGAAGGGAACCAGAATGTGAGAACCAGACCTGTGTCTAAACCCTCTTCAGCCAAACATTCACTCTAAGAAATGTCACTATTCCATGCCCCATCCCTATTCCCAAGCTATCGTGTTCTTCTTGGAAAGGCCTCCAATAAACTGGGAGTTAAATTGTCCATCTTGAAGGCAGCTACCAGTCACCTGTCACCTTCTTCTCTTCCTCTATGTCAGCTCTGTCCCCTGTCTCCGTGCTTCCTGGCTGGGATTTCATGCACACATCCTTATCCAGCAGATACACTATTATTAGCTTCAAAGGGAACTGAGCCTCTGTGCACTCAGCCCCTTGATCTCATCGAGGGCAGCTTTGTAGTTCTCTGAGCTGTGGGGTCTCTAGGCTGGGACCCAGGCTGGGGAGGCAGGGCACAGATGTTCTAGGCCAGGCCCCAGGGCCAGCCCCAGGCTGGTTACTTGTGAGGCAGTGCTGCGATGTGCTCCTGGGATACCCGACAGATGTTTTTTGGAGCTGGCACCAAACTCCTCGTGGAACCACGTGAGTTGATTTTTTCCACTATATTTCTAGGGATAAATTGAGTCCTGGCACTGGGGCTGCCATCCAGTTTGCATTACTTGGGAAAGTATAACTAGGAGATGGAGTAGCCCAGATGCAGGGGGTGGCCAGATAAAGACACTGGGCTGAGTCCCTGAAGCAGCTCTGTAACTAGTTTTGTTTTTTAAAAAAACATACATTCAAACTGCATCCCCCACTTATTTCTGAAATCTTCAGAGCAGCCCAGAAAACGCCAGGAAAACTAGAAAAATCGTACTAATTGCTGGGGCACATGGTGGGGGAGGGGATGTGCAGGGACACTCCGGCCCCAAATCTCCAGAAGGTTGTTTCCATTCTTACCCATCTCTTTGGCTACCCTGACTAGTGTACGTGCCTCATTGCAACCGTAAACAGATGCCCTGTAGCTTGGAAGATTTAAGACAGAGACAGTTAACCAGGTCAGAGTAATCAGGTAGAGCAAATGTGTATTTCAATGTTAAAGTTAAATCCCATGATGTCAGAGAGCCTTGAATTTGTGAGTGACATTTGTTACAGTACAATCCTTACGGAACTGATAGGACTCAGTGGGAATCTAAAACATAGATGATTTCTATGTATACAAGTTAAGAAAGGCTGTTCAGGAAAGGTATATACTTCTTCTGGTATTGTTTACCAGCACATAACCTTAGCATTGGACTGTTACTCATAGAAAGAGAAAGTCTGAAATAAAATAGCAATTGTCCAAACAAATAGCACTTTGAAACCCATAGTGAAATGTAATTACATTTGTGGGCCAAGAAGAAAGACCAGCAATTCTCAAAAAAATGAACAATTAGATCTTTAAATTTTGGACTACAGTAGGGCAAATTTTATCTAACTCAGATTTTGGTTTAAACTGAAAACAAAATCGACTAGTTTACATATGGCAACCATATAAAATGCATTTTGTTTTTTTTTCTTTTAAAAAGGTTCAATTCAGCGAGATAACCTTTTCTTTGGTTATCATGATACCAAAGAATGGATTAGATAAAACACTTCATTTTCAAACAATTGTTTTCAATAGATAGGTATTCACTGAGAAAAGGGTCTGAGAAAAATGTTTTACCAAATGAATACATTATGCTTTATCTGAAATAGTAACAGATTAAGAGCTCAATATCATAAGTGTATGACCTTCTTCAGACATTTGTCTTGTCAGCTACGTTCCATTGTTCAAATTATTCAAACCAAATCTCTCTAGCCCCAAGTGATCATTGACAACTGCCTTTGAATTTAGATTTTAAAATCCCAAGCAAGGCTTAATTATCCAAGTAAATCAGGCTAGGATTGGGTCATACTCTGAAGTAACCAAGGAAATAGGATTGTTTTGTTTTGTTGTTTTGTTTTGTTTTTTAATTACTGGTTTCCTTTCTCTGTATCTCATAACTCCCTTGAAAATCAACCAGAGTACATGTCACCAAAGTCAGTATAGTGAATGAGAAATGTTGCAATTCTGAAGACAGGTGAATGAACATGTGGTTTTTCAAGCCGTTGCTGCCGAGTTATCAGTGTCTGTTATCAGTGGCTTCAGCTATGCCGGAAAGCAAAACGATGAAGGTTTCCTCACATGGGTTGAAATTAGGTTCCAGGAGAGCCCCCTGAAAAAATCCCCAATCCCCGTCTTGTCTAGAACTGAAGCCAAAATATACGGAACCAGATTCTTAAGAATGAGTTTCCTGCCCTTAGTGACTGAAACAGAATCCAGTCTTCCAGCTGAGCTTCCAGGCAGAGAAAAAAGTGGTAACAAATTTTTTCAAAAAAATATTTGGAGGCTAGTTAAGGGGAGGGGGGCGGTCTCTGAACAGCTGATTCCCTAGGAAAGCCCTGATTGGCCATTGTCCATTTACAAAATGATGATCAGAAAGAACTTCTAGACTAGCAAACGTACCCTCTCAAGCAGATATAACCAATTTATTTGTTTATAGCTCCACTACCATGAGCTTCAACAGCTAACGCCCAAATCCAAATTAGGACAGAGTATTAGAAAAATGATTGCATTTACTCACCCATTACCAAGACTTTTCATTTAGCATTACCTTATATCTTGATTATAGATCATAGTAAATAAAAGTACACTGGAATTCAACATTTTTAATTTGATATCACCTAGTTTCAAATAGAAGAGCTACATTCACACAAGTAATTACTACAGAAAATTGACAGTTAAGCTTCTGTTTGGAAATATATCTAGGTCACCATTCACAGATTGGTTGTCTCTCCTGATTTCAGGCATCTTCACAGCACCCTCCTTTTTTAACAGTTATTTGAAGATAGCCTAAGGATCCAAGTCTTCATGGACAAAATTTATCATAATTCACAAACCTTAATAAGGCATGATGGGAAAGAATCAATACTGCCTCCCTCAAAGCTTTAAAACTTTCAGTTTCAAGGAAAGAAAAAGATGCATATACAGAGTAGCAGATAGATGGTAGGTCAAGGTGAGGCATGAATGCAGAGGAGGCCAGGAGGAGATCCAATGATCAGCACCAACACTCCATAGCTTCACTTAGAATAAAATAAGAACTGGGTTTAAACTGGTTTTATATCTAGGGGCACCTGGGTGGCTCAGTTGGTTGAGCATTTGACTTTGGCCCAGGTCGGAATCTCATGGTTCATGAGTTTGAGCCCCACATCGGGCTCTGTGCTGACAGCTCAGAGCCTGGATCCTGCTTCGGATTCTGTGTCTCCCTCTCTCTCTGCCCCTCCCCCCCACTCACACTCTGTCTCTCTCTCAAAAATGAATAAATGTTAAAAAAAAATTAATATCTATAAGGACTTCCTGGGAATAATAGCTGTTATCTCTGATAAAAGACTCAGAAACTATAGGATAGTCCCTTACAACAAAATAAGTATTTACCTAAAGGCAGAGAGATGTACCACTTAACTTCAGTGGTTATCCCTTCCAGTCCGAAAAATGAGAAAGACACCCTAAAGTGACTCCAGTACTCCCATCCTCAGGGTATTTGAACGAGTCATGTAGTCCTTCTCAGACCCTGATTCTTTAACTGAGCACCAACCCTATTCTCATTCTAAGGGCTTATGCGTTTAAAATAAACCAACGATGCAGACAGATATTCAACCTGACTGCAATCATCCAGAGGACTGATTAACAAAATATAGATAATTGAATCTCAGATGATCCAGACACTTGTTTGTAGTTGTTATTTTCCATCTCCACTTCCAGCCATGTCTCTTAGCAGCTCCTAACTAGAAGTCAGATTGACTGCCTTTCATTTCCACTTCCCTTAGCCACCTCTTTCATTGGGTGTTAACAAGCCCAGGTCACTAAAGGATGCAGGAAAGTCTGTATTGCAGTGTTTGGCCCCAAAGGAATTGAAGTAAACCCCACCATTTAACTCCCACACTTGCGGATAATCATCTTTCAAGATAAATTGATTATATTTGCAGAAAGCCAGCCTCCTGCCAAACCATCCGTTTTCATCATGCGAAATGGGACGACGGTTGCTTGTCTGGTGAAGGATTTCTATCCTAAGGATATAGACATAAAACTCGAATCAACCAAGAAACTAGAAGAATTTGACCCTGCTATTGTCGTCTCCCCCAGTGGGAAATACAGTGCTGTCAAGCTTGGTCGGTATGAAGATCCAAATTCGGTGACCTGTTCGGTTGAACACAACAGTGAAGTCGTGAGCTCCACTAACTTTGAACCAAGGACAAATTCTTCAGGTAGGTCACATCTAGTTTCAAGGGGCTGGAATTATAGGGAAGAAAAATTGAGGGAAAGGGAAGCTGAAGATGTAAACTCTTGACAGATCATTCTCAACGTGGCATCATGCTAGAAACAAGACTGAGCCCAACTATGGCCCGTCATTGACTTTGAACTTAACTCTGCATCCCTGAGCTGGAATCTAAGATAAAGTCCATCTTATTTCATCTCCTATCTCCTCTTCACCAGCCACTGTCTCCTTGATACTAATGACTGTCCTACTACTAGACTCTGGGTTAAAAATTCATGCACAGACTATGGGGCACCTGGGTGGCTCAGTGGGTTAAGTGTCTGACTCCTGACTTCAGCTCGGGTCATGATTTCACATTTTGTGGGATCGAACCCCATGAGGGGCTCTGCCTTTACAGTGCTGATCCTGTGTGGAATTCTCTCTCTCCCTCTCTCTGCCTCTCCCCTGCTCTCTTGCACTCTATCTAAATAAATTTTAAAAACTTAAAAAAAAAATCTTTTAAAAAAAATTTGTGCACAGCCTAATCCAATGTGAATGCCAAAACAAAGGGCAGCCCAGCTTATCACGGGATTGAGAACCCTCATTCATCCTACAAATTGGAAACATACCTGAATGTGGGCCTCATAGTATAACGAAAAAATTCCAGAATGGGAAGAATGTTGGCTGTGTGAATAGCTGTTTGACCTTAAGCCACTCATACCCCTGATCCTCAGTTTACTCACTTAAAGTCTCCTCCACTTTTCAAACCTCAAACCCTTTGAGCCTCTTGGTTTCCAGTAAATCCCTGACCACTGCTGTTTGTTCCAGGTACCGTAAAACCAAAACCAAAGGAAACTGAAAACATAAAGCTAACTCCAAAGAGCATCAGTGAGCCCAAAGGTTAGTTGAAATCAAGGGTCAACTTCAGAACTGAGTGTTAAAGCAAACCCTGTAATTGTCAGACAGGGCCAAAAGTCAGCAGATTTCAAAAGAAAACAAAAACCATACCTGAGCCCAGCTGGTTCCCTCTGAGCCTCTCGGCGAAGCTTGCCTGGCTACAAGCATGGGTTTCCAAAGCTTGCCTGGCTGGGAGTGAGCAGCAGCCTTGGGTCTCTCAGGGCCATCTGCCACCAAGCTAGGCTTGCAGCCCAGGCAGAATGATGGTGATTCGGGGCAGGCTGGTGTCCGCGTGTTGTGCGCCTAATTTCTGGAAGGGAATTTAGTTTCTTGCTAAAGCCGCTATCTTTACTCTTGTTCAGCCACAGTTCATCACAGTTCACAGTTCACAGCCGGGAATGTAAACATGCTGTCCCTCACAGTGCTGGGGCTCCGGATGGTGTTTGCCAAGAGTCTTGCCATCAATTTTCTCTTGACTGCCAAGTTATTTTTCTTTTAAGGTAAGAATTAGCTGCTTCTTATGCCTACCTCAAGCCAAACTATGCTGCACATGGAGAAAAGGAGTTTAGGAATGTAAGGGGCCAAGAAGGCTTGGAAAGGGAAGAACACAGAGACATAATAGGATTTTTTTTTTTTTAATTTATCTTGAGAGAGAGAGAGCGCGTGAACACATGTGCACAGGTGGGGGAGGGGCAGGGAGAAGGAGAGACAGAATCCCAAGCAGGCTCTGAGATATCAGTGTAGAGCCTGATGCAGGGCTCTAACCCACAAACCATGAGATCGTGTCCTGAGCCGAGGTCAAGAGTCAGACGCTTAACCGACTGAGCCACCCAGGTACCTGAGACATAGTATGATTTAATAAAGGTGGGCCACCTCAGATACTCAGCATAACACCCCATCTCCTGTTGTCCTCCTATTTCAAGCCAGACTCAAAATGTGTTATGTAATATAATGTAATACTGGCCGATAATCCCCACCTCCAACCCAGGAGCTAAAACCTTGGAGCTATGTAATGAGAAATAGTTTTCTTTATTTGCTATTTTGTTTATCTGGCCAAGGGTCATGGTTATTTGCAAGGCCATCAGTAAAGCTTCACCCAAAGAATTTCCGGAAACTGCCTTGCCTAGACAAAGGAGATGCCAGCTCCCATCTCTTTATCACAGGACTCCCAGTGTATAGACCAGCCCATCTTTGGGATGAACCTACATGCCCATTAGTAGTAACCAGCACACTGCTAGCTATTCAAGATGCAAAGTTGCAGTTGAGACATTAATTATCTGCCTGCTACTTGCATTCCTTCTTCATGTAATCTTAGACATGAAGTTTAAACCGGGGCCTAGGTTTGCCCATGAAGCCCTTTTCCAGTACCCCCAATTCTCCCCAGTCCCAACTCCTGATCTAGGGACAACTTTAGATTTCAAGTGTGGGACTGATCCAACCCAGCCTGAGGACATGTCCAATCATTTCCAAATGGGTGACTGGTTTCCAGGAGTCCCAAGGACAAGAGCAGTGTGGCTATATAAAAAGAGCACTACACTAGGAGACAGAAGATGTGGGTTTTCACCCTGTCCTTGTCACTAACGCTCTGCTACCCTAGCCTAGTTGTCCACCTCTTTAGGCCTGAGGTTTTTCACCCATTAAACAAAGGAGTTAAGAAAGACTAAGGAGAGCAAATGAGTTGCATGGCTTATGCCAATATTGATAAGCTAATACGGAGTAGCTGAATTATGGCCATGTGCAGAAAGGACCATACCATGATAGATTAGTGATGTCTGCATTGATGCAGCCACAGCAAGTACTGGCCATCCCCAGACTATGTGAGTACTACGATTCCTCCCAGCACTGACTATCTGTGATCTATGACACTCTGATCCTTGTCCTTCACTTGCAGGCTGACTGGCTTCAGAAGGCTGCCTTATGAAACTCCCACATTATGCCTTCACAAAAGCCTACAGAGGAGCTGTCTCCTAGACTTCTGGCTTCTCAGTGATTCAAGGTGACCGATCCCAGTCTTGCTTAAGTGGCTGCTACCCAAACCATCAAAGCAACAAACCCAGCTCATTTTCCAGCTTTGTGGAAAGACACAAGTCCTAGGGAGTAGGGCGTTATGGTCCTAACTGCTCTATCTGCTGCTTTATAAAGGGATATAGGACTCATTTTCTTTATTATTATTTCTACAACAGATACACTTTGAAAATAGTGTTTTGTTCCCTTAACTTTCTTTGCCTTCAAAAGTAGAAAGTGGGAGCCAACAGATTCCCAGCTCCATACTCCCCGAGGAAAACAGACCCTGGGGGTTGGAGAGAAGATGCCCTTCACCTAACAAGAATGGCTCTGTTCAGCCCAGCACTAGGTTTGCCTCAAGCTGGCATTCTCATCCACAAAAGCACTTTCTGCTTTCCTTAGTACTTTACAAACAAAATTACATTTGACTTCTCATGCAGCCAATGGGGTTTCTAAAGCCTCATCTAAATACTCTCCAAGCTATTAGCAAAGATCAGGGTAAAATACAGAGAAAATTACTTTTATCAATTGACTTCACAAACATGAATTGACTCCTTCTAAGTTCCAGGCACCGAGCTGAGGGTGTAAAGATGAACGAGAGGTGGGCCTGCTTTCAAGCGACTTACTGTGCAAGCACTTTTGGAGGGAGGGAGAGGAATGAGACTCCTAGATTTGGGCTGTAAAAAGAGTATCTTTACTGGGTTTTGCCTGCCAATATATGCACAGGGAATTTGATTTCAGTGGATGCTGACTCTTGCCTGCCCCTTGTTGTTGATGGTTTTCTGCCATTCTCAGTGTTGTCTCTGTTGCATTTATTAAAGTGCATCGAGTGTGCCTTGCCTCTGGCTTTACTCATAACAGACCACCGCGGGAGGGGGAGGGTGGGTGCTGTGAACTCACTGTTAGGCAGACAAAAGCCAAACTGAACTTGTAGGTCACACCGCAGCTTCCTGAGCCCCAAGCCTGCAGGCTCCTGCCTCAGGGACCCTGCCCTGGGTTTCCGGCTGTTGCTGCTGCTGCTACAGCTACAGCAAAACAGCAGCAATGACCCCTCTGTGGCCGATGGGCTCTGCTACCCCCACGTCAGCAAGGCCACAGCATTTTCCCAGGTGCACCCACTCAGGTAGCAGAGCCCTTGCAACCCACTATTGTGGTTTCCTGGGCACCTAGGGTGCTACCTAGGGTGTCAAGCAGGGGCTTATGGGGTCACAAGTGAAAGAGCAACCCTCACCAACTCCCCCTGATATTGCCATCTGCAGACTCCCATGTTGTCTTCACAGCCCAAAGCAAAGAAAGGAGGCAGTAGCCCTCTGAGTCAATGGGTTTAGGACAATCTACATGGATAAGGAGGTCCATCCAGGGAAGAACCATTAGAAGATTCCACACAACTGCACCTCGTGTGTGTAAAGAATGCCTATTTCCAAAACATTCACATCTGTTACCTTAGGTAACATTAGCATGTTTCTATAAGTGGCAAAGGACAAAAAGATCACATCCTCATTTTTCAGATGGAAAAAATACCCCTTCCAAAAAGGTAATGTACCTTCTTCAAAGTCATTCAGTGAGGCAGGACGTGGCTGTGAGCAGAACCATGTTACCAAGAGCACCAGCCCAAAGTTCCTTCTAGAACATACAGCATCCCCAAAACAAGGACAAGGTGGTGATTTGATTTCAGCTAGACTGGACTTCAGGATTGTCCGATAGCATATAAATGAGCCACCCTCTGATCTACTTTGGTGGTCAAAAAAAAAAAAAAAAAAATCCTAGCTTATCACAGGATCTTGAATTTCTCCTACCAAAAGGAGCCTCCAGAAAAACATTAATGGCAAGAGCCAGGTGGGGATTGTGGCTG